TATATATATATATATATATATATATATATATATATATAATATTTGGAGCGTCAGGAATACGATAATTGTTTTCCTGCTTGTTTGTTAGTATTAGCACAGTCCATAACAGCTTTTTGTTTTTTTCAGTGCTTCGTGAAAAAAACACGAAATGACCTTCGATAATGTTGATTGTATTGGAATCGTACGAGCCTGTTCTGATGTGAACATTTTGTGGAATCTTTCTCCCTAAATGACGTCAAGCCACCTTTCTGTTATTAATGAGAGGAAGAAGAGTAAAAGCAAAGTACAAAAAACCATATATGATCGTGAAAAAATCAAAATAAGAAGGTTTACTGTACTAGAGGAGTAATGAGTAGCTTTAGATTATATAGACCGCAAAAGGTATTAGTGATACTATATTGAAAGCAAAATAATAGTCTGTTCGTGAAACTGGAACGAAATTCATTGTTGGAAACTGGATTAGCTTGAATTGGAATCAATAAATATTGATTTTCGATAGTACAGATCAGTACTAAAATTCCGCAAAAGATCAAGGTTATTTTGATAGGACTATACTCGTTATTTATAAAATGAGAACCAGATGAACATCTTCCGAACTTAGTGCACACGCACGCACACAGAAATACACGCGAAATCTCTTTCGCTTTTTCTTTTCTTCTTTAGGAAATAAGTTCAGTTTTTAGGAAATTGCTTGGAAAGTGCTAGGAATCGTCCAAAAGAGAGAATTGTCGTATCCACATATCCTTGTTTAGTTTGAGGACTATCGAGCCGAATCACCACGAACATCACGCGCAAGGTGGGTGCCAATGCCATGCATTCATCGAAACGCAATTCTTACTGTAACTATTTTATAAACCTGTTACAAATATTTTGACCGGAGAGAACTCTTACGCAAGTTAACGCTACTTCAAGACTTCTCATCATCTTTCGTTTATAATTAGCTAAGTGCTTACTATGGAATTCTGTAAGGCTGGCAACGACGAGCTTCGTAGTAGTGATTTTTTTTACCATTAGATCTAACTAGTGTATAGCTTTGTATTCACTGAAAAATTAAGAAGAAAAAGAAAGAAATGTGAAATGTTATGTGGAGCAAAACTATGTCGAGTTTTGTTCTTCCTTATAACAGATTTTGCTTCATTCATGTGGAAATTGTGTGGTAGTCGTCGTGTTTTCAAAAATACGCTACTAAATAAAAACAAATGGTCGTAAGTAGAGTCAAGAAGAAAACGGCTGCGATTTCTGTTGGGGAAATAGGAACCTCACTCCTACTTTTTATCCTTGTTTATTCATTTGTTCATTTAATAAAGAGTGAAATCGGAAAACTGACCACGACCAGCTTTTCCTTTAAACTCAACTCACCTCGTAAGTCTTATCAGGCAGTACTGGCATAGTTCTTGTTGCGTCAGTGAAATGAGATGACTGATTATAGTTGCTAGCAAGCTGTTGCTGTTGTTGCTGTTGATGTTGCTGATAGTTGGTGTTCGTCGGTGGTGGATACGTCTGAGTAGATGTCTAAACGACTCGATTGACAATCACCATAGAGAATTCGTTTTTTTGAATTCGACAACTTGATCGATAAACGTGCAAATAAATATGAAAGAATAACCGTGTAAGATGTCTTTTAAGTTCACCAACAAGGAAAAACATTACGATTTCGTCGCCGGAAAATAGCCACGACAACAGCAATAGCAACAGCAACAACAACAACAATGAAAGCAACGACAGCGCGTCTCGAGGAGACGTGGACTAGTGATGGAAAAAAATGTCATGAAAAGATTTGTAAAGAAAATTAAGCTGTCAGCAGTCGACTTAGGCACCGACGAATAAAATAGATAGGTTAGATAGGTTTTTGTCTTGGCTCATTTGATACGATTCAACTGTTGACGAATGCGATCCACCCACCCTTGTCTCCGTGCTGTAACTGTAGCTTTGGTTTGCTGCCGGCATTGCGATAGCAGTGTTTTGCTAAATAGAAGCAAAAGTTTAAAATCACTTGATAGATTTTATTCGCTCGAATTTTTTTTATGGTAACCCTTTTTGATGTGATGTAATTTGTATTACAGTCTATTTAGTAGATACCAAAAGTCTTTCAACTTGTCGTCAGAAGCTTCTAAAAAGACATCTTTCTACACTGAGTGCAATATTAAAATGAAAAGAACTAAAAACACCGTTTCACTTTATAAAAATATTTAACGAAAGTGCCAAAAGTAATTGTGTATAACATTTTCTAAATCGTCTTATAAATCTTGTTATTCCTCTTGCAATTTGGTATTAAGGGCTTCCTATTATATGTATCCATAAGATATTCTACAGAGCATCTGTAGCGCAGTGATTAGAGGTACCCTAGAATACACACGTGGTTTTTCGTTCGACCATGATCCCAAGCAAACCAATCCTTCTATCCTTCCGGCTTCTTCAGCCTGGTAACAGACTTGTCTCACACGGTAGAAAAAAAACTGGTTTAACACATTAGTACACCTTCACAAGTTATTGTATAAGCAATGTGTAATTAGTATATGATGTATTCCTGTTGGATTGATCAACGCCGAATGTTTTTAGGCAGCAACATGACTATTGCTACAATACGAGCGAGTAGCTCATATCAACCAGCTGTTTTTGCCACTGGAAACAACTGATGGATTACGGAATGACAGTGATTGATGTCAACATGCAGGCAGGATACGCAACGTAGCCTAAAAGATGATCATCAAAGGAGATGAATAGCAGATGTGTTTGGGACAGCCTAAACTATTTGCGAAGATGAGCCATCTAAGTATACAAAACACGTGGCTAGAAGGCGGTTGGAAAAACCCTAAATGTCCATTTACTTTCGCATGCTTTTGAAATGATCTGGATAGATGTTGAAGCGAAAGATCTCTCCTTCCTTCTTCATTGGCTTCTAAACTTGTTGAGGCCTACATATCACGGAAAAAAATCCTTTTACGCCTGACCTGTGCAATGATTTTCAAGGTAGTTTATTATAAAATATTACCGATACATCATGCATTTTTCAGGATATTACCGATATATCATGCCTTTTGTTTGTGTTTTTGTCCTACAAGAGAAATCTAATACCAATTTGCCAACTCAAGAAAAGTGAAAGGCTTGGTCTGTCAGGACGTGGAACCGAACCATGAGCATGTGGTTCTAGTAGAGCATCTCTAACCACTTTTCTGGTCGCGCCGCCGTTTTTTCTGTACAGTTTGTAATCGCTTTAAAATTTAATTTTCACAAGTAGTCAACAGAGTTTTCAACACCAGTGTGCTCTAAAAATCGCACAGCAATAATATTTGTAGAGAGGCTGACCTGTCCTAAGTGTTGTTGTTGTTGTTGTTGTTGCGAAGTGGACGAGTAGGTCTTACTATAGCTGGATTGATTTATTTGTTCGTAATGCGAACTGCCATACTTCGGACCGGCTCGATATTTGTCGAAATGATCTCGTACGTAATCAGTTTGATTCATGTTGTAGCCAGTGTTCACTTGGTATTCAGCGTTGTTGCCATTCGTTAAATTCGAACTGATGTACGTCTGAAGTTAGAAAAAAATCACAGCTCCTGAAAAAAAATATCCGGCCTAGAGGAATATGGCATTCATTTGAGAAATTGAGAAGTTTTTCGCACATCAAATTCAGTCAACATGCCTACGTGTAAGACTTTTGATTTGTTTAGGAATACTCGTTCTGTATTTCTCATCGTTTTTCTACGGAATCTCTGTTTTTTCAGCGTTTTCCTCGAACTGAGTACCAAGACTGGGACGATTTGAACAACAGTAGTAAATAACAGTATCGAGAACCATAAGAACTCTTTACAATAGTTTGTCGATGTAATTTTTTAAACTTTATGTTTTATCCCTTATTATGCATGGAATTCTCATGTAAGTAGAAGAATGTGGAGACATGTATTCCATTTTCCATGGATTATTCTTTATTTCAGCGTTAACCGTCGTTAGAAATAACGAACAATGCTATCGGCGTTGATCAATTCCTGAGGTATGTGCCATGCTTCCGACTTCATTAAGCATCGTTAGGAGGTGATTGAATGCATATCTGGCTTTCAAAATGACTCGCGGTGGCCTGCCGATGCATCGAATCAGTGCTGCTATTCTCCCAGACAAGTCTGGTACCAATTTGCAAGCCCCGGAGGGATAGAAGGCTTGGTGGGCCATAGGCACGGGGATCGATTCCACGCGTGTGTTGTAGCGCCTCTGCGAGCACTGCGTTACACGCGCGCCGCTAGTTTTCGTTATCCCAATGTAACAGTTTGTTCTAATACTGGTTTATGACGGCGTAACAAACAGAACCTGTTGTACTGGTACACCTTGTGTTGTGCTGCTGTAATCTTCAGAGCGCTCCGAACTGATGTAACTCTGTCGTTGTTGTTGTTGCTGCTGATGGCGTTGCTGCTCTTCGTATTGTGATTGCGACTGGTACGGATGTGCGCCACTTGAGTACACTGTTTGGCTCTGGAATGTTGGCAAAAAAAATTAATAAATCCAGGAAGATTAGGTCGAAATGAGGAACTTTTGAGAGATGCTTGCCAAATCGACCAGATTTGTTTGCCGCAGTACCAATTAAGGTAATAATTTGGTCGAAATAAAGTTAAAAATGGGCGATTAAGGAGCATTTTATGTTTCACTACTGGAATGACATTCACACCTACTCAATTTTTTTTATTGGACACCATTCCGAATTTTAAACATGATGGAGAGAAGTGCAAACTCGCTTGATGTACGACACCATTGACTAGGGGCGGTTTGTCCGAGTGATGGCGGTGTCGGTGATGAGTAGAGCAGTGCCCGAGAGATCCAAAGCAATGTGGGGCAAAGCTTTTTAACTCTGAGACGCAATTCAGGAACCATTTAGCGCTGACGTTGTATTAGATGAGATGATCCGTTAGATGTTATACGGCCTTCCATTGGAGATGCGTTGGTTGTTGTCAGCAGGGCTACTGCTTTTTCCATTGGAAAACCTCGTTAGAGATGAGTAGGCTGCGAATATGTAGAGTCGGCATCAGTTCCTAAGGTCGCAATATCTTTGATCAATACTACTTGAGTGGAATGACAGTATACATCTTTAGCCGTAATATCCGAAATTCAAAGGACAACCGATAAGCAGATAAATATGGCAACACTGAAAGGTATAATTCATCAAAAACAAAAACAAAGTGAGATGAATAACCTTCTACTCATAATTAATGATACTAGTTCAGTAAAATCGGTTCATATTCATTTTAGACGTTGCTGTTTTGTGTATTAGTTCTAACTAAACTAGATACCGTGAAGTCTGAGTGAAAATCCCTCTTTGAATCCTTACTAATTGGATTCGATTCGATTTTAAAGACTAACTAACATGTAGCAAACTAACTGACTCCTAGGAGTGAATGAAGAATCCTGTAATAGTGGTAGCAAGTGTTAAAACGCGTAACCTTTGACCTCGGCTTTATTTTTATGCACTTTTATCAAGAATGAAAAAAAGGGTCTCGCACTGACCGTCTCATAGCTTTGATGTTCTGGTTGAGTATAGGAATGTTGAGCGTGGGCATTCATCGTATCCGCCGCTGCTTGCCAAACGTTGTGGGTGCGGGCTGCTTTGCTATGCCAAGCCGGTGGTTGTGATGGAGGCACCTGAACAGCAGATTACTGACACTTTTTTTCAACGTCCCTGCAAAACGACATTACAGCATGTTACTGCAGGAGGCATGAGAAGGGCAAGTAACATCTTGAAAACATGTGCACAATTTGTACTGATATTCTTTCAAGGCCATCAAATGAAAATCGGAGCTCCCCTCGGAAAGTTTGTTATTCGAAATTAATGGAATTTCTGGGAGCCAGTGCACTTTTCGGCCTTTATAAAAGGTCACCTATACTTACGCTGGGAACTACGGCATAAGTAAGAAATGAATTTTTCTGAAAATCTAGCACTGAAGAAAGATGAGTTCAGTTCATGAACATTATCAGTTCTGGATAGAATTACACTATGCAGGAATGACGTATACGACAACCAATTATAATTTCGAGATTTTCTAGAAAGATTACTGTATTCTACGCGAGCACAACACAGATAGGAGGAAAGTCACAAGTCTATGCTAACTGAAAGAAGATTCTATTTATATCACAGCGGATTGTTTCAAATTAAAACTATATGCTCATCAATAAGCTCAAGAACCACATTCGAAACTGCATAACAGTTATTTCCCAGAGATCATGCTCTCAATGCCATGTTCCTTTGCAACTTTATAATTTTTAACTTAGTATTGATTAATCAATGTAGGCTAAAATCGATTACAATGTGTGGAATTCTTGATGGAGAGAACTTCTGTCAAAGCACATAACAACTGAGTAAGCACTAGAGGTGGGTAGTGATGGTGATGGTGATTGATTACGGTGTCGGTTGCAAAACAAAACTTAGGAACACCGACACTGAACATCAGCTATTTATTCTCAGAGCAGAGATGAGAAGCTTAACAGTTGCTAAATGCGTGGGATATGATCATGAGCTACCAATTAATTCATCGAGGAAATTTAAATGTCAAAAATTTTCGCACTATTTACAGTGCACTCCGCTGATTCACTAATCCATCAACATGCGGACGGTTTTTAAAGTGGGTGAAATGGCCGCAATATTAATATTAGATTTCAAAAGATGGGTGCAACCTTGAAAACTCAGTCAGATGTGAGGTCAGTCAATTTTCAACGGTAAAGTAGGAAAGGCAAGGCTGTGGTTTCATTGCCGTTTATCACGAAGAAGACGTTGGTTCGACACAGCCCCCAGCTCACAAAGCCTCTCGCCTTTCCGATGTGGGAAAATTTGTACCACATTTTTTTGGGGACAGTTCACTCTGGAACACTTGTTCCGTTATCGCAGGACTCCAGAAGAGTCGACATAAATGACACTTTTGACGGTGGCGAAAGAATCCTCAACCTACAGTCAAACCCACACCCAAAATTTGAACATATTCGTCGATGCTAGAAGTGAGAGAACGAATCGAGTATAAGCAGTGCTGGGATCAGTGTGAAGACGGGTCGTGTAAAACAGCAAATAAATAGGTGTTAAAAAAGAAGATACTAGAACATAGTTTCTTAAATTTTGTGACAACATAAGAAGCAAAGAAAAGCAGGAAACGTAAGCTCGTTAGTGGTAGGAAAATATTAACAAGGCTTATAACAGCAGTCGTAAAGTTGTGAATTTGTATCACAGTGTATTCAGCAAACATCTCAGCTTCTGTACAAGCTGATGATTCTGTACATACAACGAACAAATTTGTTCTTCTCGCTTAAAATGGTTTTCGAAAACACAACATATTTCACTTGAACACATGTAAAAACACTTGTGTGCAGACAGTTGACGAAAGGGAGCGTCACTTAGGTGAGGGAAAGGAAAGCATGATAAACGACGACGATTGAATGAAGGATGCTGATAGATGAGGTTTACAGTATGATGATGAGGTTCTGTCAACAGTGCCCACAAATATTCATAAATATCCACGAGTATTTTGGTCACAGAGTAATACAATATCGTTGACCACTTCCCTTTTTACACTTTACATGATCTGTCATTACATCTACTGTGCGGGTCTCAGCACTTACGTTCGATTCGTTTTCCTCGCACTAATCGTGCACAATGGTCATAGAACATGCAGTTCGCGTATTGTTTCTGCTGCTGCTTGAGGATTTCGACATTTTCATGAATACCGTAGAATGTTGGTTGAGTCGAATCTTCTTGCAGCCTCCGAGATAGCCAGGCTAAGTCGTTCCCATTAAAGAAGAGACTTGGGGGAGGATCGAACGAGAGACTTTGCTTCTTGATCAACGGCACCACTAATCATTGTGCTATCTCTGCCTCTGTAAATCTTCCTCAAGTTTTCAAATCTTTAAATTTGTCACTTTTTAGAAACGGATATCTCTCTAGAATCTTGTTTTTATTAGTAAGGATTCCTGTGTTGAATAATTGAATAGGTGTCATCTATTCAATGTTTTCATCCATGGAGGAATGAACGCACCATTTCTGATCTGCAGAACAAAAAGGCACATAGCCTTCCAAGTTTGTTTACTGAGTGCTTTAAACCGCAAAGTAATGCAAGAAAATTTTTTATTTTAGTCACGGTAACTTTTGCGATATTTTATTATACAGCTAATACGTATTTAAGGGCTACTGTGTGTTTCAGTGTTCACAGGTTCCTGCCTTTTTACAGTACTATGCTGACACCAAGGCAGCTTTATAAGGTTTACTAAAGTGTGTAGGGCAGAGACGATGTAAAACTTAGTTTCCTTAAAAGTTATTCCTTAAAAGTTAGGTACAGTCCTTGCGCGACCTTTTTATTTGAAATATGTAAGAGCCACTACGGTAATGCGTCATCTAATAAATTGGAGAACTGCTAAATATTCAAAAAAAGTGTTAAAAAGCAAAAAGTAAGAAAACAGTAGGTTCACATCGGTTGACATTCATAGTTCATAATAGAAACAACGGACAATACACAGGGAGTAACGGGTAATACCTTTGCTAATGCCGGTAGATTCAGACGAGCTTCCGTATCGTAAGCTTTACGTTCCCATGCATTACGACGTTCTTGAACAGTACGTGACCAATTCGGTTCAGATGTGAACACCTAGAAGTAATGATGGCTTGTCACATGTTAAGGAATTAAAGCACGACAGCAAACGCGCAGGACAGAAGCATACTGAGAAGGACGCATTGTGAACGCTAGCACATCTGCGATACTTTTTCAGCTAGTCGGTTCTCACCTGGGAAAATTCACGCATTGTTAGAAGATTAGAATGTTGCACTATAAATTAGTTGGAGAGTAATTTCAACTAAATCTGTTACAACTGAAACTAATATTGTTGGCGTGTTTTTTCTAACTAAATATATTACAAACTCATATTCTAAAAGAAGAGTTAGTAGAATTTTTCTTATTGATTTCAAAACGATGCCTTCATTGAGAATGGCCATGGAGGAGTAATCGCCAGCAGTTCGTTTGATTGGCCAATCATAAAAGAGCTCCATGATTGGTCCCGCCACTTATCGTGATTCACTTGTTTGAGAATTTCGTGCGATATGCAGAAGATTTTTAAAAAGTTCAGAAAATGAATGAAAGTCTTCTAGATTCCTCAATTTTCAAGTAAATTTGCTTTTGTGTGACCGATTTTTTAAAACAGTATTTCAGGTTTGGTTACTTCGGTTGCTTTTCAGTTTGGTTTCCTACTACACTAGCAAAGCAGGAACCGAGTAATAGAATCGTTTCACTTGTTTTTGCTACTTAGCAAAATCTGTGAAGAGTATCATCATTTTCTTTACGAATAGCAACGAGGGATTAGCTTTCTTTGCTTACTCTTTGTTTTCCTTTCTATGGCAGTTTCAAATTTTCTTAGTTTTCTAAACTGATTTTATTATTTTATTTCACTTTATTTTTTCATTTTGATCCGTCTTTACGTCTACCGTGAAGGCCCTAGCACTTCTCGTATTTAGTTCGTTTTTTTTTACGTTCCACGAAGATCTTCTAACTTTAGCTTTCGTTGCTGCTTGAGGATTTTCATTATATCTTGAATGTCGTAGAATGCTGGTCGAGCAATTCTTTCTGGAGTCCTGAGATAGCCGTGCTGGAGTGTTCCCAATTAGATTACAGAGAGTGATTTCCTTTCCAGACAAGTTCGGTGCTGATTTCCCGAGCCCAGAGAGGTGAAAGGCTTAATTAGCCCAGAGCGGAATGGAACTAGCACCGCGCTCGTGATGACGGCATCACTACCACTGGGCTACCTGCCTCTTTTTTAAACTACTACCTGGTATATTTTCTGGTATATTTTTGTTTTAATGTCTGAAACGCTCTAAATCGCGCTGCTACAGTTCTTCGCCACGAAAGCAAATAAGAAATCTTTGAAGAATCTAAGACAAAGATTTTTTTGTGCTTTAATTTCTTTAATTCTTAATTTCCAGTAATTATTTGAGAGTCATCGATTTTAGAGTGCACATAAGAGCAAAGGAACTTTGTAATCACCCATTTACAGAAGACAACGAAAACAATGAAAGCAAACTAAAACCGGACACTGCTGAAGAACTTTAAGAACGTTGTAAGAAAATTCATCGAAGCTCATCCTTTTTTGATTTATTGATTTTTATTGTTCTTACACTTTATTTTCCACTACTTAAAAAGGCAGCCACCGTTTTAATTGAATGGATTAAGACCATTGTAAAGTGACTGAATTAAAAAAAATAAAATTTGGAGTAAAGAGAAATAAGTATTGCAAGATAAATTTTTACAAATATACTCCTTTGTCAATAAATTGTGAAAAAAACCCTCACTAACTTTCTTTGGATAAAAATGGCATTTTTTTGCGTAACTATTTGTAGTATACGACACTAATTGACAATATATTTTTTCTGGAATGAAGTAGGTATGAAACCACTTTTCAAAAATCGATGGGCACTAAATGCATGTGGTGCGGAGGTCATACGCGAGAATATATTCCAAAAATTTTCGGGAATTCTTCTAGTGCCTAGGAAAAAATTTGCACAGGAATTGGCTTCTTGTTGAGAAAGTTTTCCTTACTATGCTCAGTCAGGAAGCCACAAAAAATCATTGGGTTGGGTTCTCCATAGTATATCGCAAAAGTGATGAATAGGTGTTTTATTGTGGTAGACGAAGAATTGCTGTATCATTTATTTCCACTATTTTCTAATTAGTACTCTTTTTGATCACGTTTGTTTACTGTATTATCAATCTACCAAACGCTTCCACTTCGATTAAGCATTTTGGTTCACAAAATTCAGCGGTGTGATTGAAATAGTCTAGCCGAAACCGCTCCACAACCATTAGTGGAAAACAATATTATTTTCTTCCTAAACACAAAAAACCTCCCACCGGTTTACCGCCTCATCGTGGCTGGTAGGTGCCCTGGAGGTCGAACTGCGATGTACAGCGAGGGATTCATCCTACTGGCAGGGTCAACCAAGCTGAAAAGAAGTCCAGCGTTTCCATGTGGAAGCCTAGCTAATAGTAATGCAATACCAGGTTCCACCACCGTCCTGGTATCAAAGTTGCATAGTGGCAAATCTCCCTCTGATCCACAAGGGCTGCGACCGCCTGTGGTGGTGAAGACCTGGGCAGGCTGACCTCGGGATTTCAGGTAACATGGCTTAAGCAGCAAATCTCCGAAAAATGGTAGCACAAAGTTACTTCAAAAGCAGTATTTTTTCTAATTTCACCTTAACTTTAACTCAAATGATATTATTCCAATTGCGGAGCCAATTTTAAACAGAGTAAGTACGTTAACTGATAAGTGACGACACCTGATTCCGCTCGTGTAACGGGTCGGCACGGTGCCTCCATGCTTCCTGTTTGCTAACACTACGATCGTGCCATACAGGTGTGGTTTCGCGATCCACTTTTTTCAGCACGTCATCGTTCAGTAGCGTTTGTACCGTCACCTCTTTCGCATCAGGTGTTCTCGATTGTCGCCACGTGTCCTGCTGTCGTTGATAGTTTGATGATGATAGATTGCCGACTGAGCCTCCATATCGAGATTTATTAGCCGAAATACTAAACGTGACGGGTTCCGGTGGTGGTGGACTACGCCTTACAGTAATGTGATCTCGTTTGAAACCAGGAGGTGGTGCGAAGCTCGTGCCAAATTCATTCTGACTGATGTGTCGCACTTCATGACTAATCTTCTGGTTAGAAACTGTGTCGCCCACAAGAAGATTCGCATCCACTTCGTCCACATTTGGCGCATAATAGGAATTGCATGGCGATCTTGGATCGGCTGAGTAACGTGATCGGAGACGAGGAGGATCTGGTCCGTGTCCACGGTATGGACCAGGCGCAGTGTAGCCCTTTCCAAAATCAGTGCCACCCAATTCATAGCCTGTTCGGGTGTGTGGCACATCGGATCCTCGTCGTCTACGATTTTCCAGGTATTGTTCATAGGGTACGGACGGGAAGTGCAGACCTTTGGTGTAGTCTAGACCACCACATTCGTAACCGTGCGTTCTAAAAATATTTTTTACTCAGTGGAATAACAACTCTGCCCCTGACAGAGTTGGCATGTTTGAAGTAGAATAGAACGAGGAAAAAGCAATCCAAGACTTACTCTCTTGGCTCGCTGTGTCCTCGAGTGCGTTGATAGTACTGCATTTGAAAGTAAGGCGGCCCATATTGAGGTCGATTCGTATGCGTGAATGTTCTGAAATCATCACATGAATCTTTGATACAGCACTCAAATGACGTCAGCTCTATGAACACCAATCACATGTTCAGGATATCCGCCTAGTTGCTAACAGCTGTTAGCTGGACGGCTAAATCCAAAAATAACAAAGAATGTATTATGAAGAGTAATTATAAGAACCACTGAAGGTTAAAAATTAGGGAGAAGATTTTTCTTGACTTCCCATGATCTTCGAAATCCTTTTTCCTCAACTTTCTCGTGTTTTACGTTTGACAAACGAGAATGGATATTCGAACTGATGTAAAACTTCACACGAACAAAAATTCACTTGGACTTTTCTAGGAACTCTCTTGGCGTCTCGCTACGTTGACGTTCGTAGTAGTTGGTTGGTAGCGGCGTTGTCGTTGGAGTATAGTGCTGACTTGGATCGGCTGGTGTTCGAGACCGTGCACGTTCGCTTTTCTCTCGAGCATATTGTGCCCATTCGGGTTCCTGGAACAGCTCAACTACATTCCATTGTTCATTCTCATAAAAGCGACATGGCGAATTTTAGTGATTAAAACAAAGAGAAATCACAAACTACTTTTTTATGTTATAATAGAAGAATAAAGGGACAAAGGGTTCGGAGTCCTTACTGGACGTGCCATAAATTTGATTCCATTGGTAACATCACAAAGGTAGTTCTGTGCATATTTGATCTATATAATAACCTGAATGAAACCATTTGTCCACCAAGCCAATGTTTTTATCATCCCAGGCAAATCTGCCGATAATTCGCCCACACTGAAGGGATAGAGTACAAGCTTAGAGCCGGGAGAGGTGTCAAACCCGTAAACATTTGTATATTACAGTCTACGTCTAACCACTACGCAGACCATGTTAGTGTAACTCATTAGGTGATTAGGTTGAAGATTCAAGAAAACGTTGATAGATCCTAATAAAGCATATTGCTATTTCATATTAAAGAAGCGAATACAACGGCTTACAACGGATGTTTTTCAAAGGCTTAAATCCACCTAGCACACAATATTTGATCAATCGATGAGTCCAAACTAAGTAGAATCGACAAAATTCGTCCTCTCACCTGACGCGGATACACTTTCGGTGCTTCAGCTGAAGCGATCTGCTCAAAGAGGTGCTCGCCAAAGTGGCCTTCATCACCTTCCTGGAAGAAGTGAGCAAATACATTCAGATTTGTGTTGGAGTTCTTTTTTGCTTTTAATTACACTGCATTTTATAAAAAATGCTGTTTTTTTCTCCTACAACGATTAGACTCCTATAGTATAGGATAGAATGTTGATTCTTTGTCACCATACTCGATGTGGACTACGTTACCAGTTACACACGCCTTCATCTTCAACAACATTTTCTCCGAATATGTCAATAATTCACCAAAGCCTTGCTCATCATTCATCATATTTCATCCATATTAAGATTTGTTACAAGATTTGAAAGTCATTAGGAAGTTGTGTCAGCTGTTTAAGTGGTATGTCACCATAACGATGCTGAGATATTTGCAAAACTTCCAATGGCTCGTATCTGCGGTGGGGACCGAACACGAATTTACCCTTTCTGAAGGCTAACACGTTCACCACAACACAGTCTTTCGTTTCTTCTTTCTTTCAGCAATGTTCAAATTGACGGCATTATTTAAGTGATAGTTCTGTTGATCACGTATCCAACACCGTATCTGAGCGAACCAGAAAATGGCGAAGTTATATAGCCCAGCGTCGACGGATAGGTGGTAACCAAGGAACAAGGACGACCATGTACTTGCTTTAAGATGAATATTAGTTTGGGAGATGGCCATCTTCTCCGTGCTGCATCGGAATTAATTTCACTTCCTATTTATATGTCCAATTCAATAGAATTCATTTAGACATCCTTGGTGTTTGTGCGTGGGCAGTCAAGGAATTGGGAACCATACGGGAAGCAAATAACGTTCACTTCTAAACAGTAAGCTTGCGTGGAAGTCAAGTAGTTGACAGTGGACTTCAAGAAGAAGGATTTCAAAGGACAGTGATAAATTTGTGAATTATGTCAGGCCGCTCACTTATGCTATATAGTGCCGCTGTTCCAAAATTTTTCATTCACCATCTTATTTTAGTATATTTCATCTTTTATACAGTACTGTATTCTTAAAGCATCATGCTTACCTTAATAAACTTTAATGTCGCGCTCTTTTCTGGGTCAAAACGCTTGTCACCAAGTGGCATCGGAATTGGAGATGTGCCGCCAAGTTGGTGTTCAAATTCTTCTTCAGCAGCCTCTCTGTAAAGAAAAAAATGACTAACCGACTTAGTATTTGGTATAAAATATTGTAAAATTTTGCAAACTTGTTAATTTCTACATCTCTCGGCTACTATTAATTTTTATGCAACCACATTAGTATTCACTAGTCCACTGGTCCTTGTTTTTGTTAAGTTTTCCAATTTTTTGGCTATTCTCTCCCGACAGAATTTTCTTAGGTGAACGTTTATTTAAACTGTGGCTTAACGTATCAGGGACACAAAAAAGGTTTTAGGTGTACTTAATTCGTATTATTCAATAATATGTTTTACAATTTTTCAGGAATTAATGTCGGATTCGTAATTTCATTTATCTTATATATATGACAAAAACTTGAGCACATCCACCTTTACAGATTCAAACTCGGACGAACATAGCACTAGCAGTTCCAAGTGTCAGTAAGGTATGGGAAGAAAGGTGAACGCACGATGCGAAGCTGTTGTGGTAAATTTAGTTGTAGTGAATTCGTCCTTGAAGCTGATGAACGGTGTGGACGCGGCTTTATTATAGACAACGAAGAACTGAAGAGTTTTGTGGAGACAATTTTCCACACAATTCTTCGAGAATTTGTAGAAGAACTTGTTGCAATCATTTCAGTTGGTGCAGTGAACAAACGTTGAAGAAGTCCGATAAATAGGTGCCGCACGAATTGAATGGCGGTCAAAAAATCGTAATTTTGAGGAATCGGTGGCGCTTCTTCTGCGCAACCACCACGAACTGTTTCTTGGCCTTGTGAAATACGATAGAAAATGGGTCCTCTTCGAAAATCGACGACGATTGGCTGAGTAGTTAAACCGATATGAAGCTCCGCAGCATTCCACATGCCCGAAATTGCGCCGAAGATAGTCAAGATGGTCTGCAGCTGGTTTGTGCCTTCAAAACTTTTTGAATGTGAGTGAAACGATTGCAGCAAAAACGTATGAACTTTGCGGAATTCTCCAGAAACTTCAACTGGTATACTTCGCATTGATTAACATAGAGAGATGACCAATCCTTCCCCATGATAACGCACGGATTCTTCTCGGACTACTGACCTTCAAGGAGATGAGTTGCCATGTCTGCCTTATCCATTACACTCACAAACCTCTTGCTTGGAGACCACCACTTCTTAAAGCATCTCAATAACATCCTGTACGATAAATGCCTCAGAAATCAAGGCGAGGCTGATACTACCTCCAACGACTTCATCACCTTCAGAAGTCCAAAATTTTTCGCAGCTGGTGTAAATAAACTTGTTTCTCTTTAGCCAAAAATGTATTCACTCAATAGTTTTCACTCTCCTCTACAAAGCTTATTCTTAGATGAGATATGCCACCTTGAGAATATTAAAAATACTGATTGGCCTTAATTTCCGAAAAGAGTAACAGATGTTATTCTGATCGACTTGTCCTGAACTGAAGAACAATTTGATTGGTGCACAGTTATACCTATAAGAAGCATTTTCGGTCACAAAAATTTTGTTTATTTAAGGATGTGGACTCGTTTTCTCGTGTCCATCTCTAGTGGAGAACAGGGCTGTGGGACCGAATACGGTGGAAAAGTCAAATTGTACAAGCATTCTTTTGTTGAAAATGGTTTCGCTTCTAGTCTCTACCGTGCCGAATTGATTTGAGTTTTCCTAGAGACAATCTTGGCGTGGAATTTTCGGTGGTGAGCACCTGACGAGGTGATCCAATATGTAGAGTTCCTCCGAGGAATTCATTAGGCACGTATTCATTTCTTTGTGTTGTGGTTGGGATAATGACATCATCGAAATTGGTACTCTTATACTTGCCATCAAGGATATATCCATTCTTCACCGGATGTTGAGAACATGCTTGAACAAGATCGTATCTTTCTCTGTTTTTTGATTCGTTTGTAGATAAAAGCTAAAAAGTTCTCGACATTGATCAATCCCTGAGAGATACGCCATTAATTTATTAATTCGAATTCATCAAACATCGTTAGAGATCGTTGGATGCATATTTGGCCTATACAATGACTTAGGGCTGGCTATTGATGTAATGCAACAGTCTTGCAATCTTTCCGGGCAGGTCTGGCACAAATTTGCTGATCCCGGAGGGATTGAGGGCTTGGTTATTATGGGACGCGGGATCGAACCCATGTGTATTGGCAGTGCGTCACTAACTACTACATGCGTACACGAGATATGTAAGCCAAAATCAGGTATCTTTTTCTATCACATCTTACAAAAAAGGTTTTCGCCGATATGGAGAAACAGCCAAGAGGTATTTTCTTCATTTTGTTCTCCTCAGCGAATCAATAAGAAAAACATGCACTCAGTTTTCCGTGGAATAACAGGCGCAGCATTGGCAAAGGATATTTTTGGCCGGCACTTAGATAATTCTCAATTTTCCAAAAAATACGAAATCATTGCCTCTTCAAGCGTTGATCATTTTGGAAAGAAACTGATGCTTTAAAATTTTGACGAAATGTCAACGGAACACGATATTGCAGCAAATTTCCCAGAAAAAGCGTTGATTCATTTTTCTTCCTTTTTTCATCTTTCGTGAGTACGTGAAGGTAGCACTGTAAGGAATCTATCACAATGAAGACGCAGGTTTCCAAGAAAAGGACTTATCAAGTAATATTTTTTCCGTAAAAATTCGATGCGTAGTAAATTTTTCTTTCTCAGTAATTGTGAGATTCCGAACATTTACATCTCTAGAATCCCCGGTATCCTGCCAGATTGAAAATCCATCGAAGCAAACTATATTGTTCTCAAAAATGGCGTCACATGTTGTTAGGATTTGACTGAGTCTAAAGAAATGAGCAACATAGCGAAAGGGATGGAAAAAAATGTAGAAAAGCGATTAAGAGAGAAATATTGAAGCACCGCGAAAGGTGGAGGGGAGACAGGGATTAAATCCTCTGAAGGCCAACAAACAAAAATCCAGTGAAAAAACGAATTATATATACTACAAAAAAAGGAATACGAATGAAAATGAGTGACTTTTTGAATGTTCAGGAAGAAGAAAGCTACTTTCTCAATAAGACAAGAAATGACACGCTCTACACTTGATGGGTTACAAAAGAACTTTAGAAGAACTTTTTGACTAATAACTTGACTGACAACTAACTATTGTCTTTATTTTATTCGCTATGGCTATTACGTGAATGTGCGGATATGGAAATACCAAACTAGACTCAAAAGGAATGAAAAATACTTCAAAACGCCGATATGAACTTATTTGCACGATGGGCCGCAGTAATGTAGTAAGTAGGGGCATACATATCATTCATATCTACAGGCTATTATTCCCAGGTTAAAGGTAAATTGGTTTTTGAAATATTCATCTCAACAGTTCGATAGGGCAAAATCTCTTCTACAATCTTATCATGTTTGCAGCTCTTCGGGCTTTTAGTTATTGAACGATTACTTTTGCGTGTTGCGTAGCTAGTGGATTTAGAAGAAAATACGTAAAATGTGCAAACTACTGGGTAACATATCAACAATGTATAAACAGTGTCGAACGATTAGCATCAGTTTTCTTGTGCTTGTATTTCTCATCATTTACTCATATGCAATCAATAAATCGATGGATAGATCAATATGTCAATAATAATTTACACACCTTGAATAGATAGGCATTGGTGAGTTGTACTGTAGATGAACTGGCTGTGCCATGGTTTTAGTTCTTATTACCGTCGGCAGCGTGGTCGTCTCCGATGATATCACCTGGAATAAGCAAGCGATCGAGTAACCCACGCACGATGGCCAATCATCGTCGTAATTCATATGAGAGAAAGAGAGAGAGAGAGAGAGAGACGTATGACATTTTTCTAACATTTGTCCTTGAGGAAAACGAGAGTAAAAAGAATAAAAAATAACGATAATGAACGAGGCAGGGGAGGAGAAGGTAGGAAGAGAGGCTATTTTTGGTCGAATGAGACGAGTGAAAATGATGAATTTGCCATAAAAATAAAAAGAAGTGCCAAAATGATTCATGTGAAGGTTATAGTAGTGAATTCGCTAAAAGAATGATACAGAAAGGGATATATTTAAGAAGATTGAAGACGAAGGAAAGCTCACCTGTTTTGATAACAACTTTTAAAAAAGTTGGAAAAAAAAGGCAGAGAGTCAAGCGAAGTTCAAAAATGGTTCAGTTCTAAGTAGTTCCTCTATTAAATCTATTACATGATAGTTTATTAGGATCTGAAAACTGCATTATCACGAAGGTTTCGCATAAAAATAACAGCTTTTCATGTTTGTAACATGTGAGATCAATTATAACTGTCCAGTTAAAGCTGTCTCAAGTTTGGAGCGCCTTAATTTTTCGCAGGTTTATTACTGCTTCACTATTAAGTTAGCAATGATTTTAATGCGATGCCTCAAAGTTCACTTCAACAGGAAAAAGATGCCACACCTTTATAATCTTCTTCTACAAATTTCACTGAGCGATGAAGGCCTCATTAGCTTTGCGAGCAGCACAACACTGGGGTGGGTCGTTGCTTCGATTTCTCTACTAATGTAAACCGAGTTCTTTATCATTCCAGTGCACGTGCAAATTGCTTCCAGATTTTTCTTTGAGGATAAAAACAATGTCTGGATATATCTGTAGGCCATCGAAAGCCATTTGTTTAGACTAAATGTGCATTCAATCACCTTTACGATGCTACGAATGGAGTCGAACACATGATGAGTCTCTAAGAGCACTGATAAACGCCGGACAGTTTTAAGCTATTCCCAGTTACACCTTTTTTGTTTCTACACAGATGGTTAGTTTATTTATGCATAGAAATAAACGCAAAATTTTGCTATATTCGAAAATAAAAAGCAAATGCATATCTTGTTAAGAAAACACAAGAAACTTCAAAAAAGCTCTCACGGATAGATAATTTCACCTCCGCCGACGTGGTTCCAGCTGAGTTCTCTTGCTTGATTACAATTCAAAAAACATTTTGCCAGTTTCTAACAACGACTATTTTCTTCAACTTTATTTTTCTAATTTTTTGGCTCTTCCCATCCGCATCATCGTGGCTGGAGGATGTTCTTGAGTGTCAGACTGCGACTGGTGACTGTGTCGACTTCCTGGTGTTCAGCGGAGGATTCAGGAGTCCGGCGTTTCCATCAGGAAGCTTAGCTAAGAGTAAAGGAATACCAGGATCCACCACCGTCCTGGTATCAAAGTTGAATGGTGGCAAATCTCTCTCCGATCAACATGGGCGGCGACTGTCTGTGGTGGTGACAACCTGGAGCACACTTTGGCCCAGCTGACTACGGGATTCCAGCGAACCACAACGGCTAAACCAGCAAGTCCTCAAAACAATAGGGATTATGCTGAGACCCGCACAACCAGTGAGGAAAGGCTGTCCAACTATCCAAGTATCCAAGTATTTTTGCTACTAACTTTTTTTTCCGTTTGTTCTAGATATCTCATAACTATCGAATTTCTAGAATCTATTATTGTACGACAAAAGAATCAGTTGAATTGTTTTAGCAGAATTTTCAAGCAGGTCTTCCAGGAAATGGAAAATAAAATGAGTACAACAATGAGAAAGAGACATGAACAAAAAAATAAAAGATTAGGAAATATTGCAGAACATTTGGCTAGAGAATTTTAGGAGGATTCAGCAGTTCTATTATTAATATAATTAAAAATGTAATGAATGTGTCAGTCCGTTGAAATAAAGTGCATCTGCAAAAGTATGTTAATAGGTGATATTTTCATCACTACGGATCTTACAAAAAGCTTAGAAATTTCTCAAAGTGTAGTTCAAACAGAACATGAAAATCTACAAACGTCTAACTACTTCATGAAGAGGACTGCTGCCAGCAGTCGCAGCCATTCAACAACCCCAGTGAGGCGCCTGTGGCAACAGCCTGAGAGATGTAAAAAAGCGAATGGCAGGCTGCTGTCAGCTAGCCGACAGAATATCCCACCAACAACAAAAAAAATTAGCAAATTTTCGTCTACATGGAAAACGACAGATAGAAAAGTGCAGAAAAACCACATAAAATCTCTTCTTATCGTTCGTTTTTAGCTCAAATAGTAGATATGCTCCACCTCCGCAACGGTGATTTTCCATTCAGGACCATGCTAACGAATTTTGTATGGATCTGTTGTAGTGAACTGTTCATAAACTGGTTTTTATAATGCTTTTTTCAACTGTTCCAAACTCAGCGTAATGTTTTTGGTGGCCATTGTCAATATTGGATTTTACGAGGAATTTGAGGAACTCGTCGAATAAAAGGACAAAGCTCTCAGCGTTGATCAATTCCTGAAGAACGCGCCATGCATTACACTTAATCGAGCATCGATAGAGTGATTAAATGCTTCTTTAGTCGTTTTCTTGTTTAGCAATCGCTAGGTTGTTAAACGGCATTCATTCACTTTCATAGAAAAACAGAATACAATTCAACAATAGCTGACGTTCCGACAGTATCGCCTTCTTCAGAGCCGCTTGTTTCGTGGAAAAGTCTAGTCTTCGTAATGAAGTCTCATTGGAAGTCACTAAAAAAGCGACTCTAGAAAAGGCGAAAGTGCAGAAACGACAGCTACTGCTGCACTGTATTCTGTTTTTCTATGGAAGTAATTGTATGCTGTTTAACAACCTCGCGATTGCTCAGTAAGAAAGCGGGGCATTCATATTCCAATGCCGAGGTGAATAGAAAAGAAAGTGGATCCTGTTTCTTTAGTCTCAGCGACTTGCGGTAACTTAGCGATATATCAAATCAGCGCTGCTATCACTCCGGACATGTGTAGTACGAATTTTCTGACATAGCACAGTTTTATATTGCGAGGCACTTCTAACCACTGCACTACAGGCGTCTTCATTCCTCGGACATCAAAGAAATCTTTCTGTAAAAGAAATCATGTAAACAACACTGAATATTATGAGCGGCGGCAACGCGAAGAAGTCAAATCGTTTAGAATCGAAAATCGGGTCCAAAAAAACGAAACCATAGGGACGGATTCCAGATTCTAATTTTGGCTTTTTGTCATGTTTTTCTATATTTGCCTCCGAAAGCTGTTTTTTGATCCGCTGTAGACAAACACAAAAAATGGTGTCGCTATTTTAGCGTTATTTACTATCTCGTTATGGAAATAACTATATCACTTATACCATCGTTGATCATCAAGTAATTTGAGCTACTACCACTAAAACCTACTTATCTCTGCCACAATCCAAAGTTGCTCAGTAGGTTCCGCTTTGATTTGAGGACGTATTATTTATTTATTACAAAACCCCATATCATATACGACTGTAAGAATCTCAGCATTTCTCGCATTCGGTTCTCGTCCTCATATCTTTAAGTGCGGGTTCGGCTGCTGCTTCAGGATTTTTGATCTTTTTAATAATGTCGTTAAACGTTAGTTTAGTCTATTGTTCTTGAGATAGTCGTACTGAGACGTTCCCACGTAGACTGGAGGGAGTAAGTTTTACCAGAAAAGTAGGGCACCAATTTCGACACCGTGGATGAGTGAAACACTTGGTGAGTCCAGCATGGATTCGAACCAACCCCTGGCTAGTTTGGCCTCTCTGCTTAATCAAAGGATCACTACCACTGCGTTACCCCTTCTTAGATACATATAGAGCATCACGATTTTCGTATAAGGACCTTTGTTTCCACTTTTTTTGGATGGAAAATAACCGGGGCTATTTCACATCGATGAGGTAAACCACTTGGCTGTTAAATGTCTGCTTCAGCAAGATTTCTTTGAGTGTAGAGAAACACGTCGCTTTCTTGTTCAGCAATCGTGAGGTTGTTATAGAGCATACATTTACGTCCATAGAAAAACACCCCTCCCAGAGCGTTCTTCAGACAGCAGGACCCCAATGTCGAAATTGATACAAAGTTTCACATGTTTTCGGACGATGTTCCCAAAACCCTTGTCCACTTTCTCGATAAAAAGTATATCTCTAGCCTCAAAACTACGAAAAAATGTGGTATGCGAGAAATTAAAGAATTAATAAATTCAAAAGCCACTAGATTATCAGTTAGTGATAAAGAGGGAGAATTCCTAGTTATTCCTCGGTAGTTAGAAGTTTAAATAACAGAGGAACATCTTAGTGATGTTACCTTTTGTCGCCCATCGTCTGGAAAGGAATAAAAAAGACATTACCGAGAACTTAACGATGAATGGGTCACTATAGCAAAGGCCGCGGGCTAAAACCTTCCTTTATTTCCCATTTTAAAGTAGATCGCCCAACATGTCCCGTTTTATACGTACCTATTAAAACACATAAATTAGTATCAGCTGATGATCTCGCGTCTACCAATCCACTCTCTTACAAAGTTAGACTCATTATCAGCTGTGTAGACGGTCCAACGGATAGAATAACATGTTTTCTAGGTCGAATACTTAATCAACTGCTTAGCCATATTCCAGCTCGCCTCACGCATACCCAAATGTTCCTAGAACGTCTACGTAACGCGTCTCCTAACAACGCGTACGTGATGGAGTCATTCGACGTTTCCGCACTTTACACCAACGTATCGAATGACCCCGCAAATGCAAGCCATCCAAGAACTTCTTGTTGAACATGAAAGAGGAATACTCATGCATGGCTTGTCCATCCAGCAGCTAATGGCTCTCTTAAAGGAGTGCCTAAACTGCTCGATTTTCAGATGGTCTGGGAACTACTACGCATAAATTAGAGGGCTAGCAATGCGAATCGGTTGGCACCAAGTCTTGCCATCACGTTCATGTCTAAAATAGAAGCCCCGCTCATCGATCTCCGGCCACTACTCTACTGCAGGTATATAGATGATTGTTTTACCATCTTCTCTAA